CCCCCGGCCCCCGGGGCCCCCCCCCCCCCCCCCCCCCGCCCCGGGCCGCCCCCGGGGAAGAAGGGAAGCAGGGCAAGGGCCGCGCCCCCGGCAGAGCGGGCGCCCCAGGCCGGCCGCGCCCGCTCCCCCGCCCCACCGCCCCACCGCCTGAGGTCGCCCCACGCGCGCCGGCCAATCAGCGCGCCCGCCGCCCTCTCCTGCTACCTGGCTGGCACCTGCGCCTGCAGGGCGGGGCGGGCGGGGTGCGAGCGCCCTTCCGGCCGCACCTCCTCTACCTGCGCTCGCGCCGGGCCGCGGGAGCCTCGACGTGCCCACCTTGTTCTTGCCCGCCCCGTGCCTTCTGACGGCCTCTTTTCCTTAATTCCTGCGGGAGGGGTGGAGGGGAGGGGAGGGGAGGGGAGGGAGAGACAAGGAGTCACTGGCAGGTAGGGCAGTTCTTACCAGGTTGGCCTTGAGCTAGCTTTTTATTTTATTTATTTATTTTTTTAAGACCCAAACTGGCTTTTTCCGCTTTGCTGGCAAAAGGTTGTCACGGGGAGGTGACTTCGCAGAAGAGGAAATGCAAACCTGAGGGAAATCTGCAGGTGCAATGAGTGTGCAGTGAAAAAAGGGTGTCCTGGGTGAGAGCCCCGAGGCGTGATTGGCAGGCCACCCCCACCCACTTCTGCCGTGAATTTCCTTAGAGCCAGGAGCTTCCCCTGAGTTTTGAGGCCCTTCTTGAAGGTGGTTCTAGGAGAAGACATAATGTCTCTGTTACATATCAGTAATTGATTAAAATCTCTTAAGTACCTACAAAGTAGGCGTCCTCCTAAAATGCTTTTTATGTTTTCTTATGTTTTATTCTGGGAGGTTTGTATCATCGCCCCCAGTTTGCACTGAATCAAACAGGAAAATGAGGTCCAGGGAGAGTGACAGAGCCAGAAGCAAAGTTATTGGTACAATCACTCTGCTTTTCCCCCTCTGACTCCATAATGGATAGGCTGGCATCCAGTTGAGAATCAGAATAGAGATACCAATGTTCTTATCAGACACAAAAACAGGGCAAGAGAAAATACCCATTTTGATGGTGACTGTCCAGCCCATTGTGTCTTCATTAGCAGCTCATCAGAAAATGCCATGATTTACTTATTCATTCCTCGAACAAATATATGTTGAATCCTTCTATGAGCCAGGCACCATATTAAGGCAGTGCAGTGATCAGACCTAAATCCCTGCCCTCATGGACCTGATATTCTAGTGGGGCAGGGGTTTGGGGGAGCCAGGCAGTAAGCAATAAATGTAAGAAAATCATGATTTTATTATATAGTAAAGTAAGTGCTGGGAGAAAAAGAACATGATACAGAGGGTTGGGATCGTAGGGTAGGACTCATTGAGAGGGCAGCAAGGGTGTGAGCTTGCTACTGTCTTACGGAAGAATTTTCTATGCAGAGGGAGCATCCAGTGCAATCGTCCTGATGCTGGAGTGTGCCGGGAGTTAACTAGGAAGCTAGTAGGGCTGGACAGAAGGGAAGGAGCGAATGAAGACGAGAGAATGACAGATATGAGATCTGGGGAGACACAGGAGGGACAGCTCACATCCTGTAGCATCTTGTCATTACAAGGACTGACTTTCACTCTGGGTTCCATGGGAGGCCATCAGAGTGACATGATCTGACTTTCATTTTAACAGGATCCCTTGACCTCTATGCGGAGAATAGCAGGCAAGCAGTCACGGGTAGAAACAGGATACCCAGCACTCGAGCTGAGAGATGTGGGAGCCGTGAAGGTAGAGACAAGAACTTGAATTTTGGATCTCTTTTGATGATAGAGTCATTAGGATTTGGCGATTGCCCGGACACGAACAAGAGGAGTCCAAGGTGGTTTGAAGGTTTAACCAAAGAAAAGAGCCACCATCACCTGAGACAGGAAATGCTATGGAAGGAATGTCAGGTTAGGAGTTCACTTTTCTCAGTGATCATGCCAGCAAGTGACAAGGCACAACCACATTGGGCGTGGGGGCTTTCCCCGTGCCCCAGTGTGATGTTCCATTACGTGACTTGGGCTTTCACAAGACCATATGCCCCCAGGTTCCTTCCTGCCAGCCTCGCCTGGCAAATTTCTACTTCTCTTGAAAATCTTAAGGAAACAGCACCTTTCTATGAATCCTCTGCTGAAACCAAGTGTCTGGTGTCCGGCCTCCCTTCTCTGAACCATCTCAGTCCTATAGTCTACGCCACCCAGTACGACCCTGGATTATATGCTGTCATTTGTAGTTTGCTACTTCCCTGAGGTTTGCTAGCTATGGTTCTTAAAAGGTCAAGGCTCATGCTTTATCTTTTTACCACCGAACGCATGACGATGGCTCATAAGGGGACTTGATCAGAGTGTATGGATTGAGCTACTTTACACATTGTGGTGAATGACCATTGCCATATTGGATAGGAGTCACATGGGTTCATGGAGTCAACATCTCTCTAGTTCAAACGTCTTGTTATCAGATGAGAAACCTGGGTCCCAGAGAAACCTGGGTCCCAAGAATAAGTGGTCCAAGGTCTTTTAAGGAATGAGAGAGCCAGAACTAGGGCCTATTTGCTCTGATTTTTAGACTGGTGCTCTTTCCCTCACACTCAGAAACCTGGCCTATCTCCTAAAATAGACTCTAGTTCGAGACCCCGGTTGCCTAAGAGTGGGTAAAGAAAGGTGTTTTTTTCTTTTTTTTAATGTTTTATCTGTTTTTGAGACAGACAGAGACAGAGCATGAGCAGGGGAGGGGTAGAGAGAGAGGGAGACACAGAATCTGAAACAGGACCAGGCTCTGAGCTGTCAGCACAGAGCCTGACGCGGGGCTCAAACTCACGGACTGCAAGATCGTGACCTGAGCCGAAGTTGGACGCTTAACCGACTGAGCCACCCAGGCGCCCCAAAAGAAGGTGTTTTGAAATAGACACTCTCACACTCTGTTGGTTGGGACTATAATTGCCACAACCTTTTTGGTAGTATCTGATCAAACTTATAAATAAACAAACCCTTTAACTCAGGAAATCCCATTCTAGATATTTGCCCTAAAACAGACTCAGATGTGTGGGAAATGCCATTTATGCAAGATTAGTAATTACTTCAGGATTGTAGTAGCAAAATCTGGAAAGAACCTAAAAGAACATAAATAGGGAGATAGCACAATAAATCCTTGTCACCCATGCAAGGTGTGCAATTGTAAAAGGAATGTGGGAGATTTTACATGCTGATATGAAGTCAGGTCCAGGCAAAATATGGAATGGTGTTTGTATAGGATGGTCTCATTTGTATAAGATATAGGCATGTCTACATAAATATGTTGTGGAAACAGAATATTTTTCTGGAAGGATACATAACAAATTGATAACAAGGAGATGAACTGATAAGACAATCAATCTCCTGTTTCTAACAAGGAGAACTAGGGAAGGAGGCTTATCTTTTACACATTTGATTTTTTTCAACTTTTTTACTGCCTTTTTTAAATTAATATAATCAGTTAAAATTCACATTTTTAAATTCATATAATTTAAATGCTAAATATTGCAAAAAAATTTTGTCAGCCCCTCCTTTTTTTTTTTTTTTTTTGGCAAATGACCTGGGTGAAGAAGTCTGCTGTCTCCCACGGAAGTAAATCTGTCAGTGACCATTTCCCTGAGGAAGCTCACCGATTTTGACTGTCACCTGCATGTTCGTTCTTGCTGGCGACTATTGGCAAATGGGGAAATGACTCCACCAACTAGGTGCCCTTGAGAGGCCAGACCTCAGAAGGAGATCAAGAAAACAAGCTTCTACCTGTAATCTCCTGCCTGTTTCCTCCAAGACTGGGCCCCAGGCTTGGGCAAGGGTGATTCACCCACTTCTGTAGGAGGAAAGAGGACGTCGAATGACAGCTACCAGCCCTGACCTAAGGAATCAGAATCTCTGGGGTAGGGCTCTGGCAGCTACATTTTTTTATCCCCTCCCTCACACACCCAGGTAGCTCTGTGTCCACATGGCTTTGCTAATTGCTCTCTTCTCTGTGATCGAACCCCCTGAAGCTTGGCGTTACTAGTAGAAGGACAGTTTCCTAATGGGGCTTTTGTTCTGATGACCCACGAAGTATCACCTGTGAACTTGTGGTAGGCATGACACGGATCCCCACCAAAACGCCCGTGTTCTAGTTCCTGGAATCTGTGCATGTGCTATCTTCCCTGGCAGAAGGAGTTTTGCAGGTAAGTGCTCACCCTGAATATCCAGGTGGGCCTAATCTAATCATGTGAGCCCTTAAAAGAGAACTTTCAGAGGAAGAGGTGACTGCAGAAGAACGGCCAAAGGGATACAATGTGACTTTGAAGGTGGACGAGGGGGCCATGGCCAAAGAACGTGAGCAGCCTCTAGGAGATGAAAAAGACCAAGAAACTGATTCTCCCCGAGAACTTCTGGAAAGGAACACAGCCCAGATGGCACCTTAATTTTAGCCAGTGAGACCTGAGTAGGACTTCTAACCTGCAGAACTGCAAGGTAATGCATTTGTGTGGTTTTAAGCCACACAAATTATTTGTAATAATTTGTTACAGCAGCTATAGGAAAGCTAAGTATTCTGGGAAAGAGTATTTAATGTGAATCTAGTCAAGTATCTGTATATCATCAGGAGTGCAGGAAATACAGGGGCTTAAGGAACAACTTAAATGACACCAGGAGGAAACACTAGACAAACTAGGAATATAGCAGTTTCTGGGGGTGCCTGGGTGGTTCAGTCGGTTAAGCGTCTGACTTCAGCCCAGGTCATGATCTCACAGTTCATTAGTTCGAGCCCTGCATCGGGATCTGTGCTGACAGCTCAGAGCCTGGATCTTGCTTCAGATTCTGTCTCTCTCTCTCTCTCTCTCTCTCTCTCTGCCCCTCCCCTGCTCATGCACTGTCTCTCTCTCTCTAAAAAATAAACATTAAAAAAAATTTTAAGCTGTAGAGTCTGAGACTAACTGCAAGAGGTTGGCCTCAGATCCAAACTGAATTGTAGAACAGCTATTTGGTATCCAGAAAGTAGAATTGGTTGGTGTGGAGGGGAAAACACACACACACATTTACTGTCAGAAGTATTATGAGTAAAAACAGATCATAAAATACTCTGTGATTGATCTTGCAAACACTTTCCAGTCTCAAAAGAGAACCAACAGAAGTTCACCCTCATGTGCAAAGGATCCAAATATACATCTACTTTACGGCCACAGGGTGATCTTGAATCCACCGGTTCACGGTCATAATTTGGTCAGAAGGGATTGGATTTGGTGCAAGTCCCAAGTATAATATATACTATATTGATGACTTTATGATAATATTGGAAACCTAAGAGCAAGCTAGGGCTGACTTGAACACTGCAGTGACTCACATGAACGTGCAAGGTAGATTAATAAATCCAACAAAGATCCAAGGACCTACTCAACCAGCGATATTCAAAAACTAATCTGGGCAGGAACCATCCAGCACATTCCACAAGTGACTGAAAACAAACCGCTGTTATTTATTACCCACCCCTAGGACCAAACAAAGAGCCCTGCATTTGGTTGGTTTATCTGGATTTTGGAGAACACATATTTCACATCTGGAAATATTGCTAGTTTCACAAGACTTCCCTAGAGAAGGCCATGTTTGAGCCGGGAGCTGACCAAAAGTAGGCCACGTCTCAATTATATAAAAGGATAACTCTCTCAGTGCTTTTAAGCCCTGTGATCCCTGCTCAGATATAATTTTAGAAGTATCTGCTATTGTACATGCAGACTGAAGCCTACGGCAAAAACCTGTGTGTGTTTCCCAGGGACAAGCACTGAATTTTGGACCAGAAAATTCCACATGCCACTGCCCAGTACTCAGCATTTGGGAGACAATTACTAGCTAGCAAGCTTGGTCATTTGAGACTGCCTGTGTGACTGAAAGACGTGAAATAACCACGATCCCTGAGATACCCATAATGCCTTGGGTGACATCAGAGAAGCACTCTAATAAGGAAGGCAGGGTCCAGAGGAGTTCCAGAAGAAAATGGAAACAGTTCCTACAGGAGCATGCTACCAGGGGAACTGAGGAGGCACCTGCCTCTACACCTAGGCAAGTAGCCGCTTTTCTCCTACGACTGACTGGGATCACCTCAGAAATTGCTGAAACCTATCGCATGAACAGCACTCAACCGACCAACCAAGCCACTTGGTTCATGGGGCAGTTCCAAGGCGAATGGAGAGTATCCTGTTTGCAAGGCTGCAAGTTTAAGACCAGCGGATGGAAAGACTCTGAAGGAGGGAAGAATAAATAAACTCAATTGGCTGAACTGCATGCCCTTTTTGTAATGGCGATGGCAGAATTGAACAATGATAAAGGTCCCTGTGTTTGAGTTTTCACCAACTCATGGGCAGGAGCCAATGGCCTGGCCACGTGGTCAGGTAAACGAGCAGCAGAAAACTGGCCTGTTCAAGGGTGCCTATATAGTGTGCAGCCCTATGGAAATCACTCTGGGAATCTAAGAAGTGTATTAAAGTGAGACATGTTGATACCCATCAGAAGAACTCTTTTCCAGGTTCAGAAGGTGACTGGAACCACCAGGGGGCCTTTCTGGTGTTCTCCCGGGAAGCAACTGCCTGAGTCCATGAAATGAGAGGGCAGGGCAGGGCTGCAGCAACGTGGAGATGAGCTGAGGCTAAACTCATTCCTTGTGCACCCTCTCGAGTCCCAAAATGCCAACAACTGCTCTGTCTGCCAACAAGAGAGGCTGCAAGTGGTGATGGGGAAAATTCCCCAGGGGAAAAGTCTCACCCACAGGTGGTGAGTGGATGCATCGGAAAAATGCCGGTGGCCCCAGGAGGCTATACATGGGCCCTGAGCAGAACACTCTTACTCCAGACTGGGCCGTGTGTGCCCAAGTGTGTGCAGATGCCGACACCACTATTAAAGGATCGGAACAGAATATACTGGATCAATTGAGGTGGCTGAGTTACATGTCTTCAGACCGAAGGATGCACTTTACAGCCCATAGTGTCCAACAGCGGGCAAGAGGTATCACATCAAATGGGCATATGAGCTGCACATCATTTCTCCGAGGAGAGGTTTAATAGCGAATTCAAATGGACAGTTGAACATTTGCTGTCTAAATGGGGAGTGGAGAGGGGCGCCTGGCCGGTTCAGTTGGTAGAGCATGCGACTCTCAGGATGGTGAATTCAAGCCCCACGTCAGGTGTGAAGATACCTTAAAAAGAAAATCTTAAAGAAACTTGTTAATAAAATGGGGAGGGGAGAGATAAATGTGTGAGTGGCTGGCTTACACAACCTCATGACCGTGTGTTCACACTCAACACGAGTGGGGCTAAGGGTCCCCACTGATGGATCCCTCTAATTTTCTGGGATATCTGGGAACAGGGGTGAGGGGGGATGCTGGCCCAATCGTACAGTTCTCTCCCACGACTTTCTTTTTTTCCTACATGATGCAGTGCTTCCAGAGCCAGGGGTCCCATGGCAGTTACTGGAAGCAGAGATGATTCCTCAGTAGGAAACCATAACAACCCTTTTAAACCTTTATGTCAGAACTCCTCAAGGCCCAATGGGTAGATTGTGTCTGCACCCCGTCTGGGAAAGTTGGAGTTGACAGTAAATGCTATTGTGCTGCCTGTGGTTGAGATGGCCCACTAGTTCTGTCCATGTGTCACCCTACCCTACATGAATGGGAGTGGACTGAAGGGTAGGCAGTTGCTAGGCTACTATTACTGCCAGATATCTGGACCAATGTCCCTTCCAAAGGTGAAAAAGTTTGTGTAAAAAAGCAAACAAGCAAACAAACAAAAAAACAAGGTTGCCTGGGTGGCTTAGTTGGTTAAGCATTCAACTTTTAATCTGGGCTCAGGCCATGACCTTATGGTTGTGGGACCGAGCCCCATGTCGGGCTCTGCACTGACATCATGGAGTCTGCTTGGGATTCTCTGTCTCCCTCCCTTTCTGCCCCTCCCCCCCAAATAAATAAATAAACTTAAAAAAATGGAGAGAAGGAGAAATAATAGCTGAGAGTAAAGAAATGATAAGTGAGCTATGCAACAAGTGAAATCCAATATTATGTTAATACCTCTAGAGAGACTCAGAGCAAAGGAACAGCATTATCCCTTAGCACAGTTATACTGGAGACCCAGAAGTGTGAAGCTAGTGTTTGCCAAGACCACTCCTGCTTCTGGAATCTGACAAGGTCACATGGCAGTCTGCAAATCTGAGTGAGATCACCCTGGAAGACATTCTGGCCATGTGATGTGATATAATAATGAACTGTGATATGATAATGACCATCCCTTAATGACTAAATGTGTTACGGACCCAGGCTGGAACGCTGGCGGAAAAACCAAGCGGCACTCAGACATCTTGGTGGATTGGAGATTTATTTTACACCAGCAAACTCAGAGGAGGCTGTTTTTCCAAAGGTCTGAGCCTGGAATGCAAGTGAGGAGGGTAATTTATAGCCGACAGCCTCCATATCTGTGGGGGTTTTTGCGCGCACGGCAAACAAAGGAAGAAGAAACCGGAGGAGGGGTCTCGAAGCTACAGGCCAGAGTTTGTTTTAGTCCAATCAGCCATCTTTGGTGCCCTTTATCCACTTCTCCAACAAAAGGAGCTCTGGTAACACAACTGTATCTTTGGGCTTCTATTTTTCAGATTTTTCATGGTACCAAGTTGTACCATGACCCTACTGCCATATGGCATAATACTGATGTTGTCGGTAAGGTACTTCATATAGTCTTGTGATAACACTGATATTGGTTATCAAATGTATTGGGGGATTGAGTCAAAAGCTCTTCAGGACAGAACACCTACCGAAAATGACTGGCCTGCGGAGGAACTGGATCTAGCTAACCATCAGCTGATTTCTATGCTAAGTAGTTCTGCCCAAGCTCCCAAGAAGCACAAAGGCAGTAGATCATAGGGGAAAAGAACAATGCAATTAGCAATCAAATCTTAAAATAACAAAACGGCAGCCCCATGTGCCACAGTGTGCTATGCAGAAATACATATCACCCTTGTTTTTGTGCGTGGAAAACTTTTAAGCAGAGTGGAGAAAATGCATGTAATTGTCAAGAATATGAAAGTGTATGTAATGGCTTTATGAGACAAATTAGTTATTTCTTTAAACCTAGCTCTAGCTTACATTGGCTTCTCCAAATCTGTTATGTGTATTCATATTGGTACTATTGCTGTATCTGTTTTTAAAATACTAAATCAGATGTGAATGCTCTGACAGGTATGATCATTTTGCTGTGAGGGATCTGTCGCCAAAGACTAGGGGGTAAGCTGGTGAAATAATAATAATAAAAATAAATTTGGTCATCATCCCCAGTTCCTGGCACAGAGCTCCTAAAACCTTTGGAATTCCCTGAGAGACAGGGATGATTGGAGCAACTTTTGTTATTCATAAGGAGCCCTTGTGAACCTTACCTGAGTTTCCGCTAATGAGGTAACTCTTGATAGCCTCAGGGTAAGGGCTAGCTGTCAGAGGAAACAGCCCCAGGATTTGAGGGTTACAACCTTCAGCCCAATGCCCCAAACTCTAGGGAGGGGAGAGAAGATGGAGGCCGAGTTCAATCACTAATGGCCAAAGATCTAATCAATCACGCCTACATAATGAAACCTACGTAAAACGCTTTAAACAATGGTCTCAGAGAGCTTACACATTGGCAGTCACGTGTGCTGGCAGGGTGATGCAGTCCAACTCCACGGAACAGAAGCTCCTGTGCTCAGGTGCCTTTGGCCTTGGCATTATATGCTGCTTCATGTGGCTGTTTATTTTCATCCCTTACAACACAATGTGATAGTAAGCAGAGCATTTCCCTGAGCTCTGTGAATCATAGAAGCAAATTATGGAGGGAGGGAGAGGGGTAGGAACCCTTGACTTTGTAGCCAAACTTTGACCAAAGTGTAGGAAGCTTGGGGACCTGATACTCGCTACTGGCGTCTGAAGTGAGGGTAGGCAGTCTTGTGGGAACACGTCCTGGTGAGTCTGAGATGGACTCCTGGCAGTTAGTGTCAGAACTGAAAGAGCGGACCTAGACCGGCCGACTCCATTTTGTTTTGTGTCCTCCATCTTGAGTGACTAAGTCCCCGACATGGCCCCCTTTCCGGGGGAAACCGCAGAAAGAAATTCCCTTTCGAACTTCCTGTTCAAACCACACCCGGCAACCTGAGCAACGGGAGTCTGACCCTTCCCCAGCCAATCGGCTAAGGCCACGACTGTTACCCCACCATCTGCCCCTAGATCCCTATAAAACCTTTGTGCTTTTGAAACCCACTCTCTCTCCAGCATCTCACCGCTGCGTCTGGGCAGGTAGGAGATTGAGCTCCAGCTAGCTCGAATAAAGGCTCTTTGCTTTTGCATCGGATTCGGCTCCCTGGTGGTCTTTGGGGATCACGAATTCTGGGCGTAACAGAACCAAACTGAATTGTCTGACACCCCATTGGGGTTGCAGGAGTGACTGGTTAGACAGAAAAATCATTAGATGTAGAGGGGCACCTGGGTGGCTCAGTCGGCTGAGCGTCCGACTTCAGCTCAGGTCATGATCTCACACTCCAAGAGTTTGAGCCCCGTGTCAGGCTCTGTGCTGACCTCTTGGAGACTGGAGGCCACTTCAGATTCTATGTCTCCCCCTCTCTCTGCCCCTCCCCCTCCCCTGCTCATGCTCGCGCTCTCTCTCTGTCTCAAAAATAAAAACATTAAATTTTTTTCTTAAGTCATTAGACGTAGAGAGTGCCCAGCCACCAGACCTGGAGGCTATGATCAGAAATTTGAATTCCCTTTTAAGTACTCTTATATTGTATTTTTTTGGAATACTAACTCCATAGCCAGCTTCTTACATTTATGAATTCCCTTCAATATTCGCAATGATCCTTTGAGATCAGTATTATGATGCACATTTTATAATTAAGTTAAAAGTTAGGCTCGGAAAGCAGAGGCAACCTACACATGGTCACACATATGGGGTTGCAAGAAACACAATTTGAATTCAGGACCGGCTGACAATGTCTGTCTGGCAAAGGCAGGAGCAGACTGAAGCAGAGCCCTCCCCCCACCCCCTCCCCGCTGCACATGGACTGTTTGAGTGGTTTGAGTGTATGGAATGAGAGACAACTGCTCCGATATGGCCGGAAAGCCCACGAGAAGTAAGAGCAATTATTTCATGATACTACCCCAGGCAGTGTTGTAAGAGGCCAGACAAAAAGGAGATAATGTTATTAAAATAGTGTGCCTGATTAAATAGTTGTATTTTTCATTCCTTTTAGAGAATATTGCCCTGTGGCTCCATATCACACTGAATGGATGGATGGATGATGGATGGGTTGATGGATGAATGGATGGATGGATGAATGGATGGATGTCTCTGCTTTGGAAGAAGAGCTAATTAGAAGGTATTGCTGATTAACTTCATACACAAGAAGAACAAATTTCCAGTTATGAAATAAATAAGTCATGGGGATGTAATGTACAGCAGGGTGATTATCATTAATAGTATTATATTGCATATTTAAAAATTGCTAAGAGAATAGATCGTAAAAGTTCTCATTAAAAAAAAAACAACTTTGTAACTGTGTGGTGAAAGAAGTTAACTAGACTTATTGTGCTGATCATTTCACCATATATACAAATAGTGAATCATTGTGTTCTACCCTTGAAACTGATACAATGTTGTGTGTCATGTATACTTCAGTTGAAAAAGAGAATATATGATATATCAATATAAGAACATTCATGAATAGAATGCATCACATCAATGGATTCAAGAAGAAAAAATATGTTACTATTTCCATAAGTGCTGAATAACTTCTGACAAATTTCAACACTCATTCCTTTAAAAAAAATTTTTTTTTCTTAGCCTTGACTCTCAAAGTTGACTTCCTAGGGACATAGTAGGGTTAAATACCAAGTTGTTTGTTTGTTTGTTTGTTTTTCAGGGAAGTCTTCTCTATATTGGAAAAGTTCTCCTTTACTTATCTAGAACCAAATCTGGCTGCCAAGGATCACAGAATCACACCACAGGCCAGAGGGAAGACCCCTGGATATGACGTGCGTGATGTGCCTCTGCAGGAAAAGGAAATTCAAGAAGAATAGGGCAAAGGGGTCAGAAGGAAGTGTCCTGGCTATGCCCACTCAAGATAAAAGCCCCTAAATGTAGAAGGGGGTGAAGGACAATAGAAATATCTACATGAAGTTGGAGTCAATATAAGGGAGGAACTTCATTCTTGCTCTCCTCTCATCACTAAGGTAAATGGCAAGACCCTGAGAGAATGCCTTCATTTAGCATGGCACCCACATTAAGGTGGCCATGGCTGAGGGATTTTGAAAGGGCAGTGAAAGACCCCCAGAGCGCTGTGCTCCCCATCCTGAGAAGGGAGGCCTCAAACATGCAGCAAAAGAGGCCTGGGAGGCTGACAAAGGCCAAGAGTAGGAACAGTGCCAAGACTAAAGAACCATCCGTCAGGAGCCACACACACCAGAAAATACCAGAACCCAGTGGCCCCACCCCTGCCCCATATATTCCCTCCTGCCACCAGAGCTTTTTTGACAATAAGGTGGTGGAGGAGAAATCCCTTGAGAGAGGGAAAAATAACGTTGATGAGCAGTTCTACCTTTGAACTTAATAATGACCCCAAAGACATTGAATTACTCCCAGAGAGAATAATTAAAATCCAAAAAAAAGGGAAGGAATCTTGAATCACCCAACCCCCTCTTCCACCATCATTAGCAGGAATGAAGATTTCAAAGCACAGAACCAGTGATCCACAGAAAATGTGTGTTTTGTAGATCTGAATTGTAATGCGCTCAGTTCTGCTTGTGGGCTCTGAGAGCTTGCCTTACTCAAAGTCTGAGGACCTCTGACATATCGATCACTCAGTCTTTCCGGGAATACTCACTTTACCTGGATGCCAGACATCATACTCCTGGTTTGCCTCACCTTACGGGTCATCACTTCTCAGTTGCCTTTGGCAGTTTCGTGTCTTGCCAACCTCTATATGTTGGAGGGCCCCAAGGATGGGTTCTCGGAACCATGCTTTTGTCATTTACGTTTCTGCCTCCCAAAGTGTCCCAAGACCAATCTGTCCTCTGGGTTCAGACCCTTTTGTCCAAGTGCTTGACACACTGCGTGGACGTCCAGCAGGCATTTCAAAGGAAGCATGTCCAGAACTCTGACTCCCAGCCTGCTCCTTCCCCAGGTGTCCCCACCTCTATAAATGCACAATTATCCCTGCATCCAGGCTGTAAACCTAGAACCCATCCTTGACTCCCTTGTTTCCTTTATGCCTTATGTCTGGTCCATGAGCAAGTCCTGCTGATCTATCATCAAACCCCCCTCATCTCTCACCTTGTATCCTAATCCATCTTCCTGCTTCCATTCCCCTATAGTGAATTCTCCACCTAGAATGGTTTAAAACATAAGACAGACCTGTCACTTCCCTGCCCAAACCCTCCAAAGTCTTCCTGTCACGTATGGAATAAAGTCTGACCGCTTGTAAATCTCTGTATAATCCGACCCTTGCTTCTCTCTCTGGTCTCATTTCTAATCTGCAGCATCGCCAACTCGTTTCTCTGCTTTGCTTACCCTTTCCAATCACACTGGCCTGCTCCCAGTTTCATACACCCCAAACTTATTCCTGACTTGAGGTCTTTGCCCCTTGCCTTTTCCTCTGCCCAGAAGGCCTGCCCTAGGCATTCACATGGCTGATTTAAATTCCTTCTTCCTAGAGACAGTCTTGGTCTGTCTCTCTAAAATAGCACCCCTCCATCATTTTCCATGGTGCTACTCCCCTCCCCACAAGTAGAGGGGGTTAGGTTGAGAATATGGCTGATATAGAAGACAGCAGAGTTGGGACATGGAGAGGAACACAGTAGTGATATATCTTTCAATAATCATATATGCATAACAGATGATGCAACAGTGAGAGTCCCTGGTTCTAGGCATGCCTGCACTTGGAGTCTTTGCAAGATCATGAGCCAACAGAATCTCTTTGTCTGAAATTCCTGTTTGGGTTGTGTTTTCTGCCACTTGTAACCAAAAATCTTGATCCTAAGGACCAAACCCATGAACACCCACGTGCTGTCTACCTTGACATGACATTAGTATTCTACTGTCTCTATCAACATGACTTTACTCTGCAAGGCAAACCTATTTTTTCTACTGCCCCTTAAAAAAATCTCTTAGTAAAATCAACATTGTACAGCAATACAAGTTTTTTTGTGAATGCAAAAACTAAGTTGTGCTGTCCCCAATGTTTATAGCAACACTATCAACAATAGCCAAAGTATGGAAAGAGCCCAAATGTCCACCAATAGATGAATGGATAAAGAAGATATGGTATATATATACGATGGAGTGTTACTTGGCAATCAAAAAGAATGAAATCTTGCTATTTGCAACTACGTGGATGGCACTGGAGGTTATTATGCTAAGTGAAATCAGTCAGTCAGAGAAAGACAAAAATCATATGACTTCACTCATATGAGGACTTTAAGAGACAAAACAGATGAACATAAGGGAAGGGAAATAAAAATAATATAAAAACAAGGAGGGAGACAAAACAGAAGAGACTCATAAATATGGAGAACAAACTGAGGGTTACTGGAGGGGCTGTGGGAGGGGGGAAGGGCTAAATGGGTGAGGGGCATTAATGAATCCACTCCTGAAATCATTGTTGCACTATATGCTAAGTAACTTGGATGTAAACTAAAAAAATAAAATAAAATTTTTAAAAATGAGAAAAAAAAGAAGCTGCCATTTGCAACTATGTGGATGGAACTAGAGGGTGTTACGCTAAGTGAAATTAGTCAGAGAAAGACAAATATCATATGACTTCACCCATATAAGGACTTTAAGATGCAAAACAGATGATCATAAGGGAAGGGACACAAAAATAATATAAAAACAAGGAGGGGGACAAAACATAAGAGACTCTTAAATAAGGAGAACAGTTACTGGAAGGGTTGTGGGAGGGGGGATGGGCTGAGTGGGTAAGGGGCACTAAGGAATCTACTCCTGAAATCATTGTTGCACTATATGCTAACTAATTTGGATTTAAATTTAAAAATAAATTAAATTAAAAATTAAAAAAAAACAAATAAGTCGTGCTGCAAAGTTGTTAAATGGCAAAAACAAATTACACCATTACGGTCTTTGACAACATGACTTTATTATTCCGGGAAACTCCTGCCCAGGAAGATAAAAAGTTGCAGGTGACTTTATTGTTCCTGTTAGGAACTTTCTGAAATCAAACAGATGCAAGTGAACATCAGACTGCTCAATATTTCAATAGAGAATATCAAATGACTGTTTATACCTTAAGATGCTTCTAAACCTTCCCCCTGGTAGCCCCTGCCTCGTTGTGTCCACGGATCCTAATCAAGCCCCTGCATTGAAAGACCTCTTAAGCCAGCCCCTCACACCTCAAAATATCCAAATATCCTGATTTTGCCCCCCACCCAATTCTGATATTGTTATACCGTCAAGGTGGCAATAAAGTCATATTGGCTGATGATTGTTCCAGCAATATTTTCATAAAGAAGCATTGAAGAATAAATACAAGTAACTGATCCTAGACCTGAGCTCTGTGAGTATTAATTTGGGGTGTGTGTGTGTGTGCGCGCACAGGCGTGCACGGGCGCTGTTAGGGACTTTCTGAAGGATGACATCCAAGAGGAATCTTTCTTTGGGATTTCACATCCATTTTATCTGCTTCTCCTGACCTGTGAACCCTATGGATCTCTTGGGCCATGACTAAAGTTTGAAAACACTTTTGTCTTCTTTTTATTCTATAACAGGTTCTGTAGTTGCAGAGGCCACGTGGGATCGTGGACAGACTCGGAACCATGGCTGAGTCCTGGCCCTGCCACGTTTAAGGGATGTCAGTTAACTTTTGTGCCTCATTTAAAATGCAGGTGACACTGTGTATTAGTCAAAGTTCTCCAGAGAGAACCAAAATCAATAGGGTGTGTGCGTGTGGGTGTGTGCATGAAGGCAGAAAGAGGAAGAAAGACACAGAGACAGAGTGAGCAAGATTTATTTTAAGAAATCGACTCACGTGATCGTGGAGGCTTGGTAGGTCCAGAGTCTTCAGGGTAGACCAGCAGGCTGGAGACCCAGGGAGGAGTAGCAGTTTGGGTCCAAAGACAGTCTGCTGACAGAATCCCCCGTTACATGAGGGAGGTCAGTTTTTTTTCTTTCAAGGCCTTCAACCAATTGGATGAGGCCCACTCACATTATGGAGGATAGTCCGTCTCACTCACAGCCTACTGATTTAAATGTTAGTCATACCTTTAAAAACTACAATAATGTTTGACCAACTATCTAGGTACAGTGGCCTAGCCACGTTGACACACAAATTTAGCCATTATGCCATCCCAGAGTCTCTGTTCTTAACAACAATAATAACGAAAAATCCAACTCAGTCTAATGCCATCTCTCCAAACCCCAAACATTACCATGTTCTACTTTTCTAAAGTTATCAATCATCAATTACTATTTTTCTTTGAATTGACTGCATTTTAAATTTAAATTTATTCTAGAAGAAAGATCTATTGCACTACACTGAAATAAAAGCCAGGGGCACCTGGGTGGCTCAGTCAGTTAAGTCTCCAACTCTTGATTTCAGCTCAGGTCATGATCTTGCAGTCAATGAGTTCAAGCTCTGCATCGGATTCTGCACTAACAACACAGATCCTGCTTGGTAATCTCTGTCTCTCTTCTCTCTCTGCCTCTCTCACCCTCAAAATAAATAAATAAACTTAAAAATAAAAGAAATAAAAGCTAGTATAATTTTATATATACAGAAGTAATTATAAAAATGAATACAATTTGAAGAAATTTAAGGTACTAAAGTCTAGCTAGAAATCACTATCTCGGGGTGCCTGGGTGACTTGTTCAGTTGTGTGTCCAACTCTTGATTTTGGGCTCAGGTCGTGAGCTCACGGTTCACAGGTTCAAGCCCCACATCAGACTCCACACTGATAGTGTGGAGCCTGCTTGTGACTCTCTCTCCTCTCTCTCTGCCCCTTCTGCACTCACACTCTCCCTCTCTTTCTCTCTCCCAAAATAAATAAATAAATATTTTTTTAGAAAGGAAAAGAAACCACCATCTCATCGAGGTTCTGGCCTGAGTACTACTTAGTTTTTGTTAAGAGGAAAAAGAAAAGAAAGGGAAAAAAACAACAACAAAACGATAGGCATAGAACAAATGCAAAAATAAAGGAGACACAATAGCAAACTGAAATCATTCTCGTTGGCATATTCAGAAGGATTAAGAAAAACATTTGTTAAGAATAGTTTTTTCGGTCCACAAGATTTGATATTACATCATTTCTAGGAATGATGTAAAATCGTTCCATGTACAACAAAAAGCGTCTCTTATGGCTATGTATCTTACTCCTTGGGAAACATAGACTTCTAAGGGAGAAGGAATCAGTGCTCAAACCTAAGACACAGTAAGAGACGAGAAGTGCATGTTTGAGGGGGGACAAAGTGTGTCACGCTCTGTTAAGGTAAGCTGTTTTCTCTAGTTTCCCTAAAAACCTCTCAGTCAAATCGATGTTGGAAGCTAATGCAATTCATTCGCTATAGATGTAAGAAAGTGCTGAGCTGCGCTTCAAAAGTGGCTGCACAGCAAAAACAAAATCCACAGAGACGGCGGATGTGTGGGTGATAAATGCCATCTCATTCAAAGGATTATTGGGCATCTATCAGACCCAGGCTCTGCACCAAGCCTTGGGAAGGTAGAGACGAAGAACATGGTCCCTACCTCTGTGGAGCTCGTGCTTGTGGGAGGGGTGTGGTGTACTGGGTGGTCCCCCAAAGAACACAAGCATTTTCCAAGGGTGATACATAGAATTCCCCATTCTGCTACTCCTTTTTTTTCCCCCGCTCTTGGAACATACTAGTTTCCTTCTCCCTTGGGTCAATAGCATGTTTCCAGTTCCACTAGTACATTACAAATTTATAATTTTAAATGTACTGGTATAGAAATCATGTATTTACTTTGTTAAATAAGAGATTGAGAGACGACATGGTATAATGACACAGACTAGAATTCCTAAATTTTAAGTTGGCCATCCAGTACCTGGGTAAACTTCCTCTGCTTCAAATTTTCTTAGGACAAAGGCTTAATACTATGTCTGTCTTACAGACAAAAGATTTGTTATTGAACTTTACTTTTATGTAAAAGTACATAAAAAGTATATGCCCCTGCCCTCCCTGTACTCCCATAACTGTGGCTATGGGATTACTCTCTGGCCAATGGAATGTAAACAGAAATCTGGTTTTATTTATTTATTTTGTTAAATGTTTTATTTATTTTTAAGACAGAGAGAGACAGAGCATGAGTGGGGATGGGGCAGAGAGAGAGGGAGACACAGAATCTGAAGCGGGCTCCAGGCTCTGAGCTGTCAGCACAGAGCCCGACAAGAGGCTCGAACCCACGAGTTGTGAGATCGTGACCTGAGCTGAAGTCGGACGCTCAACCGACTGAGCCACCTGGGCACCCGTAGAAATCTGGTTTTAAAAAAAGGTACTCTGCTCCCCTTTTTTGGTCCCTTCCTCCATCCTGCTGCTCGGAGCATCCTGCAACACTAGCTGGCATCTTGGAGCTTGGGGATGAAGGCCACATCCTAGACATGCACGGTGAGGAACTGGTTGTTTGTCTTGTTTTGTTTTGCTTTGCTTTGGTTTTGGCGTTTTGGGGTGGGTTTTTTTTCTTCTCTTTTATTAAGTTTTTAATTTTAATCCCAGTATAGTCAACCTACAGTGTTGCATTTGTTTCCGGTGTACAATAGAGTGATTTAACAATTCTATACTCAGAATTAGTACTCATCACAAGTACGCTCCTGACTCCCCACCACCTATTCCCCCCACCCCCCAGCCCCCTCACTTCTGATAGCCATCAATTTATTGTCTATAGCTAAGAATGTTTCTTGGTTTGTCTCTCTCTCTCTCTCTCTTTTTTCCTCTTTGTTCATTTGTTCTCTTTCTTAAATTTCATCTATGAGTGAAATCATATGGTATTTTCCTTTCTCTGACACTTACTTCACTTTGTAATATACTCCTAACTCCACCCATGTTGCTGCAGGTGGCAAGATTTCACTCTTTTTATGGCTGAATAATATTCCATTGTGTATATACACCACCTCTCCTTTATCTATTCATCTGCCAGTGGACACTTGGGCTGCTTCCATAATTTGGCTACTGCGAATAATGCTGCAATAAACATGGGGTGCGTGCATCCCTTTGAATTAGTGTTTTTGTATTTTGGGGGTAAATACCCAGTAGTCCGATTACTCGATTGTATGGTAGATCTATTTCTACTTTTTGAGGGACATCCACTCAACTCCTCAACAAACATTTGCCTCTTATACACCACTGTCTTCCATAGTGCCTGCACCAGTTTGCAGTCCCACAAATGGTGCACGAGGGATCCTTTTTCTCCACATCCTCACCAACATTTGTTGTTTCTTTTGGTTTTGACTTTAGCCATTCTGACGGGTGTGAGGTGATATCTCATTGTAGTTTTGATCCCATTCTGTTACTTTTTACAGAAAGAAAACAATTTTAAAATAACATTGTATCCTTAAAGCAACTCTAATGACTTTCACTAGCAGGTAATTTTCTTTCAACAAATCCTGATTATTTGAATTTGAAAAAATAAAGCTGGCAGTTCCATCTGGGTTATGGATTTAATGTTTTCTTCTATTTTATTTTTTAAAGATTTTTAAGTAAGCGACATGCAGAAGAATGAACCTGGACCACTGTCTTACACCATACACAAAAATAAACTCAAAATGGATGAAAGACCTCAATGGAAGACAGGAAGCCATCAAAATCCTTGAGGAGAAAGCAGGCAAAAACCTCTTTGATCTTGGCTGCAGCAACTTCTTACTCAACACGTCTCCAGAGGCAGGGGAAACAAAAGCAAAAATGAGCTACTGGGAACTCATCAGAATAAAAAGCTTCTGCACAATGAAGGAAACAATCAGCAAAACTAAAAGGCAACTGACAGAATGGGAGAAGATATTTGCAACATATATTTGCACATATATGTTGCAACGACATATCAGATAAAGGGTTAGTATCCAAAATCTATGAAGAACTCAACACCCAAAAAACAAATAATCCAGTGAAGAAATGGGAAAAAGACATGAATAGACACTTCTCCAAAGGAGACATCCAGATGGGCAACCGACACATGAAAAAATGCTCAACATCGCTTATCATCAGGCAAATACAAATCAAAACCACAATGAGATACCACCTTACACCTGTCAGAATGGCTAACATTAACAACTCTGGCAAAAAGAGATGTTGGCGAGGATGCGGAGAAAGAGGATCTCTTTTGCATTGTTGGTGGGAATGCAAGCTGGTGCCGCCACTCTGGAAAACAGTATGGAGGTTCCTCAAAAAACTAAAAATAGAACTACCCTATGACCCAGCAATTGCACTACTAAGCATTTATCCAAGGGATACAGGTGTGTGTTTTCAAGGGACACATACACTCCAATGTTTATAGCAGTGCTATCGACAATAGCCAAAGTATGGAAAGTGCCCAAATATCCATTGATGGATGAATGGATAAAGAAGATGTGGTATATATATACAATGGAGTATTACTCGGTAATCAAAAAGAATGAAATCTTGCCATTTGCAACTACATGGATGGAACTGGAGGGTATTATGCTAAGCAAAATTAGTCAGTCAGAGAAAGACAAATATCAGATGACTTCACTCATATGAGGACTTTAAGAGACAAAACAGATGACCATAAGGGAAGGGAAACAAAAATAATATAAAAACAAGGAGGGGGACAAAACAGGAGAGACTCATAAATATGGAGAACAAACAGAGGGTTACTGGAGGGGGTGGGGGAGGGGGGATGGACTCAGTGGGTAAGGGGCACTAAGGGATATAATCCTGAAATCATTGTTGCACTAGATGCTAACTAATTTGGATGTAAATTTTAAAAAATTAAAAATAAAATTAAAAAAGATTTTTAAGTAATCTCTACACCCAGTGTGGGTCTCAAACCTACAAACCTGAGATCAAGAGTCACACACTCCACTGACTCAGCCAGCTAGACACCCCTTTTCTTTCTATTTTAGCCCAGTATCACTGGCATACATTGGCAACTGCTTTAGAGCAGTGTTTCTTAAGCTAGACTGCTAGATTTATCCATCATCACTTTTAAGTCTGGAACCAATCAATAGGTTATTGTTCATTAAGAATCGTAGCACTTTGATATTTAAAGCTAAATCCAGTGACCCACTGGTGGCCCACTGTTCCATACATAATTCTTGGATCATAAGAGCTTCCCTATTTCAGAAATCTGGAAAGAAATATTAAGTGATCAAACTTGTGTTGACTATGTTGGAGTCTGAAGACAGCCGAAAGGACATCAAGCTTCCCTACCTGCCAGGTACTCGGGGGAGGGTTGAAACTACTTCTCACTGAACCCAGCAGTGAATCATCTATTTCAATCACTTTTCCTGTGGCCTATTGACTAACTGCTATTAAAGGAATTCATTTTCGCATGAACTTGGAGCGTCTCTCAATGTCCTTTCAACACTGGAATTGAACTGAATGAAGAATGTGTTGTTGTGCTTTCCAGAACCAACCCTCTGCTGAAGCCAGTTGAGCAAAAGGAAGCACAGGGTATTATTATTATTATTATTATTACAAACATTATTGTTAATCCTCTTAGATAAATAACACAGTCAAATCTCTGCTCCCATTTCCAAATCCCCCATATTAATGCATTCATTTGTTTGTTCATTCACTCACTCAGCAAACATTTGTCGCTTATACACTGTGACAAGCATAAGTTGCCTTTGCCCTTGAAGAATGATGGATGTGAGCAAGCAAAGTGTGCATTTTGGCCCAGTATAAGCAGCTAAGTCATGGTGATCGGCACAGGCTTCCTGGAAGAAACAATGTTTTGGCTTGGTCATAAGGACTGAATATGTGCCAGTCAGGTACTGATGTCAGAGAATGGGTTCCAGGCAGAGAAAACTATACACATAGATGAAATCTGGGAAACAGCATGAAAGAGGAAAAAAAGGGGGGGGGGGGGAAGCATGAAGCCCAAATGCCCCCTGTGACTTGACCCGGCGCCCTTGGGGGAAATAGCGGGGGGACCGTTCCCGTTCGTAGAGTTTTAGCTCTCTCCCAAAAGCAGTGGAGGGCCATTTAAGGAATTTAAATTAAATTAGCTCCTCAAGCATTGTATAGGTTAAATAGTAGTGCTGCCATCAGGAAGAGCCATCTCACACAAATTTAAACGAAAAGCAGATGAATAATTCTTTTTATGTGCTGTTGAATTCGATTTGCTAGTATCTTATTGAGAATGTTTGCATCTATATTCATAAGGGATATTGGCCTGTAGTTCTCTTTTTTTGCTGGGTCTCTATCTGGTTTAGGAATCCAAGTAATGCTGGCTTCATAGAATGAGTCTGGAAGTTTTCCTTCCCTTTCTAATTTTTGGAACAGCTTGAGAAGGATAGGTATTATCTCTGCTTTAAATGTCTGGTAGAATTCCCCTGGGAAGCCATCTGGTGCTGGACTCTTATTTGTTCGGAGATTTTTGATAAAAGAATTATTCACCATGATCAAGTGCACTTCATCCCTGGGCTGCAGGGCTGGTTCAACATTTGCAAATCAATCCATGTGATACATCACATTAACAAAAGAAAAGAAAAGAACCATAGGATCCTGTCAATGGATACAGAAAAAGCATTTCACAAAATTCAGCATCCTTGCTTAATAAAAACCCTCAAGAAAGGCAGGATAGAATGAACATACTTAAACATCATAAAAGCCATTTATGAAAAGCCCCCAGCTAATATCATCCTCAATGGGGAAAAACTGAAAGCTTTCCCCCTGAGATCAGGAACATGACAGGGAGGTCCACTCACCGCTGTTGTTTAGCATAGCTTTGGAAGTTCTAGCATCAGCAATCAGACAACAAAAGGAAATCAAAGGCATCAAGATTGGCAAAGATGAAGTCAAGCTTTCGCTTTTTGCAGATGACACGATATTATGCATGGAAAAACTGATAGACTCCACCAAAAGTCTACTACAACTGATACATGAATTCAGCAAAGTTGCAGGATACAAAATCAATGTACAGAAATCAGTTGCATTCTTATACACTAATAATGAAGCAACAGAAAGACAAAGAAACTGATCCCATTCACAACTGCACCAAGAATCATAAAATACCTAGGAATAAACCTAACCAAAGATGTAAAAGATCTGTATTCTGAAAACTATAGAAAGCTTATGAAGGAAATTGAAGAAGATATAAAGAAATGGAAAAACATTCCGTGCTCATGGATTGGAAGAATAAATATTGTTAAAATGTCAATACTACCCAAAGCTATCTACACATTCAATGCAATCCCAATCAAAATTGCACTAGCATTTTCTCAAAGCTAGAACAAGCAATCCTAAAATCTGTATGGAACCACAAAAGACCCCACATAGCCAAAGTAATATTGAAGAAGAAGACCAAAGCGGGAGGCATCACAATCCCAGACGTTAGCTGATTACTACAAAGCTGTAATCATCAAGACAGCATGGTATTGGCACAAAAACAGACACATAGACCAATGGAATAGAATAGAGACTCCAGAATTGGACCCACAAAAGTATGGCCAAGTAATCTTTGACAATGCAGGAAAGAATATCCAATGGAAAAAAGACAGTCTCTTTAACAAATGGTGCTGGGAGAACTGGACAGAAACATGCAGAAGGATGAAACTAGACCACTTTCTTACACCATTCACAAAAATAAACTCAAAATGGATAAAGGACCTGAATGTGAGACAGGAAACCATCAAAACCCTAGAGGAGAAAGCAGGAAAAAACCTCTCTGACCTCAGCCGCAGCAATTTCTTACTCGACACATCTCCAAAGGCAAGGAAATTAAAAGCAAAAATGAACTATTGGGACCTCATGAAGATAAAAATCTTCTGCACTACAAAGGAAACAATCAACAAAACTAAAAGGCAACCGAAGGAATGGGAAAAGATAATTTGCAAATGACATATTGGATAAAGAGCTAGTATCCAAAATCTATAAAGAACTCACCAAAATCCACACACAAAAAACAAATAACCCAGGGAAGCAATGGGCAGGAAACATGAATAGACACTTCTCTAAAGAAGACGTCCAGATGGCCAACAGGCACATAAAAAGATGTTCAACATCACTCCTCATCAGGGAAATACAAATCAAAACCACACTGGGATACCACCTCATGCCAGTCAGAGTGGCTAAAATAAACAAATCAGGAGACTATAGATGCCGGAGGGGATGTGGAGAAATGGGAACCCTCTTACACTATTGGTAGCAATGCAAACTGGTGCGGCTACTCTAGAAAACAGTGTGGAAGTTCCTCAAAAAATTAAAAAGAGATCTACCCTATGACCCAGCAATAGCACTGCTAGGAAGTTACCCAAGGGATACAGGAGTGTGGATGCATAGGGGCACTTATACCCCCAATGTTTATAGCAACACTTTCAACAATAGCCAAATTATGGAAAGAGCCTAAATGTCCATCAACTGATAAATGGATAAAGAAATTGTGGTTTATATACACAATAGAATACTATGTGGCAATGAGAAAGAATGAAATATGGCCTTTTGTAGCAACATGGATGGAACTGGAGAGTGTTATGCTAAGTGAAATAAGTCATACAGAGAAAGACAGATACCATATGTTTTCACTCTTATGTGGACCCTGAGAAACTTAACAGAAGACCAT